CAACCTAGTGCAATACAGAGATGAGGGAGATACATGCAACATCACTCTATTGCAAAATAAATTAGGCTCCTTGAAGCTGAAAACAACACAATAGGTAAAGACAAATATCATCTTTGGCATTCTTGCTTTGGGACTCTGGGTAAAAAGGAGAGGAAGTAACATTAGAGTTGGTATTTTATGGCTCTAACTGAAGTATTGTTTTCTTTTCTTCTGAAACATAAATAATTGTTAATATATAGTCAACAAGTACTAATGGCTTAGCTATTTTTATCTTTTTATTTACCTCACAGTGGTCTTTGTTTAGAAGCCAGTAGCCTCTTTCTTGTTGAGTACAGAAACAAATGCATTTTTTTTCCGCTCAAACCTAATTTTCTTTGATCTTCCAAAGGTAAGTTACCTCTAAGACTGGGTGTGGACTATTCTAACAGATATCTGGAAGTTTGACAAGAAAACTCATTCCAGGTCTATACATAAAACGATAGTCTTCATAACTTCCCATGGAAGGTCAGGCTATTTTAAAGTCCTCTTTTGCTTTTCTTGATATTTCATGGATGATGGCTGATACATTGTAATAGTCTACTGTTCACAGGATTGGTCTCCATCTATTAGGTTCAAGTAACTATTTATTTGAGATGGTTAATATTATATAATTCTTACTTTATATGTGAATAAAGTCATGTGATGATGACACAAAATCAAATATAGTTATAAAACTACAGTTGACCTTGAACAATGCAGGAGTTAGAGGTTCTAACCCCCACACAATTAAAATCCCCATATAACTTTTGACTCCCCCCAAACTTGTTTCTTGGTATCCGAGGGGGATTGGTCCCAGGACCCCTGAAAATACTACAGATGTTGAAGTTCCCTATATAAATGGTGTAGATCAGTGCATACAATCTGCTCTCCACATCTGTAAACCCCCAACAACAGATGGAAAACAGTACAGGTATTTATTGAAAAGAATCCCCATATACGTGGACCCATAGTTTAAAGATGCATTGTTCAAGGGTCAACTGTACAGGGGGAAATTTTCATTGATGGAAATAAATGTCTCTTTCATTATTTAAGGCATAATTTACTGAGTTGCTGTGTAGCTCATTTATTGCAGGGCTAAATTTGTATTTGTTAACTTTTACTGTTTTCTTTTTTCTTAAACATCAAAAACAATTCATTCTTTAGCAATTAATATTCCAGCATCTCCAATACAATAAAAGAAAATGTCATGTAATATGGACTGGCAAAACAATCTATATATACTCAAATCAAACTAGAACTCATGATAATATCTGGTCAAGATTTTTTCCCAAGGAAACAGTTTGTACCAATAGGCTATGATGATTCTCCTTAAACTAAAAAATGCCAAGATTATTCTTATGCAAATTCTCTTTCAAAACCATCAGTTGCATATTTGTACCAGGGAAGAGACTAAACCCCTACTTGAATCACCTTTACTTTGAAATCCTGCTTTCTTGAGCTTCATGAAGTGTATATCTTGATAGATTACAGAAAAATATATCTTTTGTATCCTTAATAAGGCAAAAGCAAAATTTTGAGTGTTACCACAGGTCCAAAATTTCCACCCTAAGACGATAAAAGGTGCTAGAACCCTCCCTTCCCATGCTAGGATATTTCTCATATATTTCCTGCAGGGCCTCAGAGGTAAGTCACTGAAAAACCCCTCTTTTGCCATCTGATCGCTGAGTGTAAAGTTAGATTGTGAGCTGAAGACCATTGGAGTGTTGGATTCTCGGCCTCAGTTGGGGTGCATGCCAGAGCAACCAATTGATGTGTCTCTCTTCCCCCCTCCTCCTCCCTCCTTCCCACTGTCTGAAAATCAATGGAAAAAATATCCTTGGGTGAGGATTTACAAGAAAAGAAAATAACCGTGGGTATAATGCATTGAAATCTGGAAACCACTGACAAAAAAAATCAGCACTGGTTCAGTCATCTCTGGAGAAACTTCCGTTTATTTCTAGATGTATGAATACCTTTGAATCGGAAAGAAGAATGAAACCTTATGAGTTGTGAGAACACTTATGACTCAAACTTTCCTCTCCTTTGTGCCATCCCCCAATTCACCATAACTGTTTTTTTTTTTAAATATATTTTATTGATTTTTCACAGAGAGGAAGGGAGAGAGATAGAAAGTCAGAAACATCGATGAGAGAGAAACATCGATCAGCCGCCTCCCGCACATCTCCCACTGGGGATGTGCCCGCAACCCAGGTACATGCCCCTGACCGGAATCGAACCCGGGACCCCTCAGTCCGCAGGCCAACGCTCTATCCACTGAGCCAAACCGGTTTCGGCCACCATAACTGTTTTAATTCAGAGAACCTATCATAACTAAATAATCATATGCTTGGTTAAATGTAAAATTTCAAGTGATTTACTAGTCATTATTTTCCTTTATGATGTACATGATCAGCACCATATCTCTATCTGATCTTAATTAAGTTTTGCAGTCTGTGTAAAGAGCATTTTTTCAAGACTTGGGTCTTGGGGTTTATTCACCTGGATGAAGTGTGTTAAATGCTCAGTGTCAATGCATTAAAATATTTTGGGTTATAGTTTTAATATAAAAGTAATCATGAAAAGCAAAAATCATAACAACAGAATACAAGTAGGAATTCATTTCTAAATATTAAGAAAGGGAACCTGTAATTGCTCAATTTTTTAAAACCCAAGTACAATAAATATATGAGAGCTTTAAAAATGTTATGCCATTGTTACATTTACTAAATCATTCATTCCAGTTTTCTGGAAATAACAGGGGATAGAGGTACAGGTTTAATGACATCATGAGGGAAAATCAGACAAGTTCATAATGTAGGACATCCTATAAGACAACTGGTCTGAACACTTCAAGAAATTAAATATCATAAAAGATGGGAGAATTTTCTAGAATAAACAGATATAACACCCAATACAATCATAAAATTTGTTTAAAAAATTTCTAAGACATTTCTTATAACAGGTAGTTAAGAAAGCAAGCACATTTGTTAAAAAACAAACAAATCTCAAGAGTGAATATAAATTCTCTTCAAGTTGAAGAAAATCAGGGAAGGATAATGGAAAGATGAGATTTTTAAAAAAAAATTTTAATATATTTTTATTGATTTCAGAGAGAAAGGGAGAGGGAGAGATAGAAACATCAGTGATGAGACAGAATCATTGATTGGCTGCCTCCTGCATGCCCCCTACTGGGGATCAAGCCCACAACCCAGGCATATGCCCTTGACCAGAATCAAACCTGGGACCTTTCAGTCCCCAGGCTGATGCTCTATCCACTGAGCCAAACCGGCTAGGGCTGAGATTTTATAAGGACAGTATTTTTTTTATAATATTAGGGAATTATTGTTAATTTTGCTAAGTGTGATAGTGGCATTATGAATGTGTGGGATAATGTACTTATACTTGGGAGATGCCTGATGAAATATTTAGAGGTGAAGTGTCATGATGTCTTCAAGTTGCTTTCAAATGGGTCAGAAAACAGAGAGGGTGTATGTGTAGAGTAAAATATATAGATTCAACAAATAAGATAAAATATAAATAACTTTTAAGTTTTCAACTAGGTAGAATTATGTTGGTATAGTTCTTTTTAACTTTTCCATACAGTATATTTGAAACATGTTTTCATATATTTAATTAATATACTTAATTTTTTAGAACAGTTTTAGGTTTTACAGAAAATTAAGCAGATAATACAGAGATCCTATATACCCACCTTCTTTCACTCACAGTTACTCTAGTATTACCATCTTGCATTAGTGTGGTACATTTATTATAACTGATGAATCCATATTGATCCATTATTATTAACTAAAGTCTGTAGTTTGCATTAGGGTTCATTCTTTGATTTGTACATTCTGTGGGTTTTGACAAGTGTGTAATGTCATGTATCCATTATTACAGTGTTTCAGTGCCCCCAAAGTCCCCATGTTTTACCTCTTATTCACTCTCCCCTGCAGCAACTAATCTTCTTAACATGCCTGTACTTTTCCAAAATGTCAGGTGCTTTTCCAAAATGTCAGGTACTTGCAATAATAGCATAGGTAGCCTTTTCAGACTGACTTCTTTCACTAAACAATATGCATTTGTTTCTTCCATGGCTTTTTTTTTTTTAAATTGAGAACTCATTTCTTTTGATCACATATATTTAAAAAACACAAAAAAAATAATTGGAAAATTTTTCAATATTTACTGGGTATTTGATATTATGAAATGATTAGTGTTGCTAGATGCAATAATTGAAGTTATATAAATTAACACTCTTATCTGTTAGAAAGGAAAATAAAAATATTGACACATTCATAAGAATTACCCAGCTATGCTAGGAAAATTTCATGTGGATCGAATGCACCCAATCTCAGGAAAATGTGAAGTGGGAGAGTGCAGGAGAGAAATATGAGCAAAAAGAATATCTCAGTGTCCATGAGAATGTTATGTGAATTCTGTGTTACCTGGGTCTCTGTACTTTTCTGTTGGCTTAAGTGTGAGGATGTTAACCTAACGCCCACTGAGATGTGCGCATGCTGGAACTCTGAATAAAAACTGGAAACTGACTAGTCAAAGCCCCTTTTCATCCTAGTACTGAAATTACTCCCTTCTAGTCTCAGAAGTTAATTTTTTCCCCCCAGTTTAAACATAACTGCTTGAATCTGTGAGGAAATTGGAATGGAAATTTGTCTGTGTTTGCCATGTCGTTGTGGGTGCAATGAAAAAGCCTTTCGAAACGAGATAAGACTTCGGTACGTTGGAAGATACCACTTGAAAGTATTCCATTTAGGTTGCCATCAGTGTGAAAGAAGGGATTGGGATTTTCCTAATGTTTTGGAGAAAGTACATACTCGGAAAGGACGCGGGGTGGCGCTGCAGCATTAGAAGTCGAAGGAAGAAAGCGACCAGTCCGCCCTCCTTTAAGCCAGAGGCTCTGCTAAAGAATCAAGCAGGAAGGGGAGGCGTTCTCCGGCGGTAGATCCGGGAAATCGGGGCCCTAGGCGTCTCCACCTATCCCGGTAGCTGGGACCTACTGGGAGTCAGCAGCCACGCGAGCCGGAGCTGGGTCAGGCTTGCTGGGAGAGCAGGAGGAGATGGAGGCCAGAGAAGGAAAGGAGCGCTTTCTGAAACAAAGGCAAGTCTTGATATTCTTTGTTTTGCTGGGCATAGCTCAGGCTGGTTCCGCGCCTAGGCATTATTCAGTGGCCGAGGAAATGGAGAGCGGCTCCTTTGTGGCCAATTTGTTAAAGGACCTGGGATTGGAGGTAGATGGGCTAGCTGCGCGAGGGGCCCGCGTCGTTTCCAAAGGGAAAAAAACGCGTTTGCACTTGGATAGGCAGACCGGGGATTTGTTGTTAAATGAGAAACTGGACCGGGAGGAGCTGTGCGGCCCTACCGAGCCCTGTGTGCTACCTTTCCAGGTGTTACTGGAAAATCCTTTGCAGTTTTTTCAGGCTGAGCTACGGATTAGGGACATCAATGATCATTCCCCGGTTTTCCTGGACAAAGAAATAATTTTGAAAATCTCAGAAATTATCACTCCCGGGACTGCTTTCTTAATAGAATGTGCCCAGGATTTAGATGTGGGAATCAACGGTCTCCAAAGTTACACAATCAGTCCCAATTCCCACGTCCATCTTAAATTACAAAACAGTTCCGACGGCATAATATTACCACAGCTGGTGCTGGACAAAGCGCTGGACCGCGAGGAACAGTCTGAGATCATGCTAACTCTAACGGCGCTGGATGGCGGGACGCCACCCCGGTCTGGCACCGCCCTGGTCCGCATTGAAGTCTTGGACATCAATGATAATGCCCCGGAATTTGCAAAGTTGCTCTATGAAGTTCAGGTTCTGGAAAACAGCCCCATTGGATCCCAGGTTGCTATGGTCTCGGCTAGAGATTTAGACATTGGAGCCTATGGAGAAATATCTTATGTCTTCTCCCAGGCTTCGGAAGATATTCGCAAAACTTTTCGAATAAATGCAAAATCAGGAGAGCTCCTTTTAACACAGAAACTGGATTTTGAATCCATTCAGAGTTATACATTAAATATTCAGGCGATAGATGGTGGGGGTCTTTCTGGAAGTTGTGTGGTGCTTGTCCACGTGATAGATCTGAATGACAACCCTCCGGAACTGACGATGTCAACGCTTATCAATGAAATCCCAGAAAACTTGCAGGAGACCGTCATTGCTGTATTCAGTGTTTCAGATCCTGACTCGGGAGACAATGGGAGGATGGTTTGCTCCATCCAAGATCACCTTCCGTTCTTCCTTAAACCCTCCGTTGAGAATTTTTACACAATAATGACAAACACAGCCCTGGACCGAGAGATGAGATCTGAGTACAACATCACCATCACCGTCACCGACTTGGGGACCCCCAGGCTGAAAACCCAGCACAACATCACCCTGCTGGTGTCCGACGTCAACGACAACGCCCCCGCCTTCACCCAAACCGCCTACACCCTGTTCCTGCGCGAGAACAACAACCCCGCCCTGCACATCGGCAGCGTCAGCGCCACAGACAGGGACGCGGGCGCCAACGCCCAGCTCACCTACTCGCTGCTGCCGCCCCACGACCCGCGGCTGCCCCTGGCCTCGCTCGTGTCCATCAACGCGGACAACGGCCACCTGTTCGCCCTGAGGGCGCTGGACTTCGAGGCGCTGCAGGCGTTCGAGTTCCGCGTGGGCGCCACGGACCGCGGGTCGCCCGCGCTGAGCAGCCAGGCGCTGGTGCGCGTGCAGGTGCTGGACGCCAACGACAACGCGCCCTTCGTGCTGTACCCGCTGCAGAACGGCTCTGCGCCCTGCACCGAGCTGGTGCCCAGGGCGGCCGAGCCGGGCTACCTGGTGAGCAAGGTGGTGGCGGTGGACGCAGACTCGGGCCAGAACGCCTGGCTGTCGTTCCAGCTGCTCAAGGCCACGGAGCCCGGGCTGTTCGGCGTGTGGGCGCACAATGGCGAGGTGCGCACGGCGCGGCTGCTGAGCGAGCGCGACGCGGCCAAGCACAGGCTGCTGGTGCTGGTCAAGGACAATGGCGAGCCCGCGCTGTCGGCCAGCGTCACGCTGCACGTGCTGCTGGTGGATGGCTTCTCGCAGCCCTACCTGCCGCTGCCCGAAGCGGCGGCCGACCCGGCGCAGGCCCACCCGCTGACCGTGTACCTGGTCATCGCGTTGGCGTCGGTGTCGTCGCTGTTCCTGTTCTCGGTGCTGGCGTTCATCGCGGTGCGGCTGTGCAGGCGGAGCAGGGCCGCCTGGGTGGGTGGCTGTTCGGTGCCTGAGGGCCACCTTCCGGGCCACCTGGTGGACGTCAGCGGTACTGGGACCCTGTCCCAGAGCTACCAGTATGAGGTGTGTCTGAGGGGTGGCTCAGGGACCAGCGAGTTCAAGTTCCTCAAACCCATTCTTCCCAACTTTCTTGCTCCAGGTGAGGAGAGGGCTAGTGAGGCAAACCCCAGTTTCAGGAATAGCTCTGAATTCAGTTAAGAATTGGTAGGGGTCTACTGACGCTAGTCTCAGTTAATTTGTGAAAAATCCTTTTTTTTTTTTTACTGCTTTGCCCATTGAGGTTGTTTCTTTTTATTTGAAGTGTAAATATCTCATTTGAATTCAGTGCACGTTACTAGTGTTTCTAAATGTGTTGCTTTGTGGTATAATGAATGCTAATTTTCTTTGTATTCTCATTGGCGATTAGTCTCCCTGTACCTTAATTCCACTTAAAATGTGAAAGTAAATTTTGTCTTCCCAAAAGTCTGAATTTTAAAGTTAGAGCATCTTTTTCTATCCTTCCCTTCCCCAGGGCCTAGGTAATTTTGCAGTCTTACATTTTTAAATGTTTGCTATTCCTACAGGGTTTTTTTTTCTATTCTCAAAGGCTATTGTTTTATCTTGTGAAGTCACATTGGCTAAAACTATTAATATAGGTATATTCATGAAAAACAAAGCACTCTGTCACATTTTTCTAAATATTTACTATCACAAAGTGTCCGTACATGGAAGTTATGATTCTTTAGAGATGTGAGAACTTTGACTGTTGAGTTCCACAAACCATTCACATTGAAAGTATTCAATAAATCAACCACTAATATTCCAAACTGTAGTTAAATGCATAGCACATGTCCAGTCATTTTCAAAGACATGCTAATTATTCAAGCTTTCTATTTAAAACAACATTGGAGGGGGGGAATATAAAGAAGTAAAACTATATTTGCTGATAATTTGATTATGTATGTGGAAAACTGTAAAATAATTCTCCAAAAAAGTTATAATGAGTACACTTAGCAAAGCTGCAGTTTACAAGGCCAGTACACAAAATTTAATTATGTTTATCAAATCTCTTGAATTTTAAGTAGAAAGTTTTTAATAATTAAACTGAGATTTTTAAACGGAGGAATTGAAATAAGCAGAGGTTAATTTTTTTAAAAGATTTGAGGGAATGTATGTCTCTGTCCTTAACCAAATTTTAGAAACTTCAAATGTAGTTTAACACTGCATTTTTTTCAAAAATTTCTGGAGCATTTCTGATTCAATTGGAAATAAGCTTGTGGGGAAATATGTATCTTGGTCTGTCTGCTCATTCCATTTTTTTTTGCATGGACTGCTTCTCTTTTCCCTTTCAATTTCCTACTTTTCAATGCTTTTTTCTTTTTAGGTGCTTGAATTATGTTTTTCAACAGCTCCCCATTTATTGCATGATTAGCACAATGACTTGAAGATTATAGGTTCTTAATAAAATTTTTGAATGACTGATTGAAAGAAAGAAAGAAGTGTCTTTATTTCACCCGTGATATATATTGATATTTAAATACTCACAGGACAAACTTTTGCTGGAATTAAGTGCTCTCTGATGCATAGTGAATTTATATATATAATATATATAGGTTAATTGAAGTGATCACTATTATTTGAACACCATGCAGTTATCAGTTCTTGGTGTCTCTTTCCTTCAACATATTTTTCCTTTTCCCTTCCCGCTTAATTTGGCTCTCCTCTCCTGCCCACGGCTTAAGGAATACAAATGGGGAAACTGTATTTTGTATTTTATAATTTAAAAGTTGGATTCGCCAAAACCGGTTTGGCTCGGTGGATGGAGCGTCGGCCTGCGGACTGAAGGGTCCCAGGTTCGATTCCGGTCAAGGGCATGTACCTGGGTTGCGGGCACATCCCCAGTGGGAGATGTGCAGGAGGCAGCTGATCGATGTTTCTCTCTCATCGATGTTTCTAACTCTCTATCTCTCTCCCTTCCTCTCTGTAAAAAATCAATAAAATATATTTAAAAAAAAAAAAGTTGGATTCGTCCAACTTTCTCTATTTCTTTTTGAATTCAGTTTAATTTTTGATCTAGACATTAAAATAAAACTTTAATTTTTAATATTCTTCTGCCTTCTTTAAAATGTTTATATCATTTGATGCTTGAGCTATACTGTTAAAATTATAAGATGAATGTGAAAGATCTTATTTTGAGATTATTAGTGGTGTGGAGCACCATCTTGGTATCCAAAGTCTCTGATTAACCAACTTATTACCTTTAGGATCTTGGATAAGTCATATAATTTCTGTCCCCCAAAACTAGTAATAACAGCTGTGTCAATAGCTTGCAGTTATGATCAAATAAGATAATATATAGATGTATAATTGCTGTTATTTTACATATCACTAATATGAAGACTAAACTTAAGAGATGAGCCTTTGTGAAATATTCCTGATAACTGTGAAGGACCTAGATCGAGCACATGATATTTGTGTTGTTCATTTTCCTGCCTGAAACATTGCACTAGCTTCCTTTTAGTCTTAGAATAAAATCCAAGCACCCATTATTTGGCCCCAATCTATCTCTCCAGCCTTCTCTTCCCACTTACTTTTGGGACAGTAATTTTGGCTACACTGATCTTCCTTCATTGTCTAGAATAGTTATGCTTTACTGTCCTAGGGCCTTTACATATCAGTTTCTCATATACAGAATCTTCCCATTTTGTTGTTGTAGCCTGGCAAACTTCGCATCATTCATGTTCCATATTAAATGGCACATCTTTGGGAACTTTTTCTCAAACCCTGCCCCCCATTAAAATTATGTCTCCCTACCCATACTTTCAAGTTCACTCAGTAACTTTCCTATATAGCACTTTTCACACTGTTTGAACATCTGTTCAAAGTCTTCCCCCATTAGATGGAAAACTGTGTAAGGTATATGTCTGCCTTGTTACCTACAAACTTAACAAGTATCTGTTTCCACAGATGAAATACGGTTATACTGATGAAACCAATAATGGTAAAATTACTGTGAAATAAAAAAGGAAAAAGCTCTGTATTCCTCGCGTGAATGTTAAAATGTGGAAGGAATGAGGCATTTGTGGTCTCTGGATATACCCACTCACATAACCTATTATAACTTTTTATGCATGAGTTCATCTTTTCATAACATTTTTTTCTTACTATAAAAGCAACTCGTGCACATTTTACAAAAGTTGGAAAATAAAGAAAAACACAAATAGGATAGTGAAGCATGTTGTAATGTAGAGCAAAATATTTTCAAATTAGTTTAATAGTTACCGACAGGGGTGGTAGTCCTAGCTAAGGTGTCCACTTCCGCAAAATCATATAAATGAGGACTCTGCCAGGAACAGTACCGTCTTTAAATAAGGGCGCATTTAATTTCCCTCGGTTGTGTTTTTTAACTCAAGTGACACAGGAAACTCCTCCAGTAGCTTCAACTGGTTTTAGTAAGGGGAATAAGCAATTTAAAAGATCAAAACAACGAAAACCCCAAAGCACCTTCTCCAAGAGTTTGAAACTGCGAGCGAACGCATGGTGGCGCTGTTGACCAAGAAGGAGAATTAAACCACAGGCACTGTGCGTACTCGGTAACGCACCGATCCGGTACCGTACACCAGGAGTTGTGAGCTTGGACAGATTTAAAGCAAGCAAATCTGAGCGCTGGAAGGGATTATCTGCTAGATCTTCTCCAAAGGTTGGGAGGCAAAAGGCTTTGCATTTCCCAGCGCTCTCGGAGGCTCAGCTTGGCAATATTTCTTGGAAGAACATGGCAGAAAGTGAAATGGAGGCCGGAGGGGAGCGGTTTCTTAGACAAAGGCAAGTCCTGTTTCTCTTTGTTTTTCTTGGTGGGTTTCTGGCTGGGTCCGAATCGAGACGCTACTCTGTGGCTGAGGAGAAAGAGAGGGGCTTTTTAATAACCAACCTAGCAAAGGATTTGGGGCTGAGTGCAGGGGAACTGGCCGTGAGGGGGGCCCAAGTTGTGTCTAAAGGGAACAGACAGCGTATTCAGCTCAACCATCAGACCGGTGATTTGCTCCTAGATGAGAAATTGGACCGGGAGGAGCTATGCGGCCCCACAGAGCCATGTATACTGCATTTTCAGGTTTTACTGCAAAACCCTTTGCAGTTTATTCCAAATGAGCTCCAGGTCATAGATGTAAATGACCATTCTCCAGTATTCTTTGAAAATGAGATGCAGCTGAAAATCCCAGAAAGCACTCCACCAGGAACAATCATTCCACTGGGAAATGCTGAGGACATGGACGTGGGAAGAAACGGTCTCCAAAACTACACGATCACTCCTAATCCCCACTTCCACATTCTCACAAACAGCCGTAGGGATGGAAGGAAGTGCCCAGAATTAGTGCTGGACAAAGCGCTGGACCGTGAGGAGCAGCCACAGTTCAGTTTAATGCTCACGGCGCTGGATGGCGGGTCGCCACCCAGGTCTGGCAACGTTCAGCTCCACATCCTGGTCTTAGACATAAATGACAACGCCCCAGAATTTACACAGTCGCTCTATGAGGTTGAAGTTCTAGAGAACAGCCCCGTTAACTCTGTTATTGTCACTGTCTCAGCTTCTGATTTGGACACAGGAAATTTTGGGACAATATTATACTCACTTGCTCATGTTTCTGAAGAAATTTCCAAAACTTTTCAACTAAATCCCATTACTGGTGATATCCAACTAATCAAATACTTGAATTTTGAGGCAATTAATAGTTATGAGGTTGACATAGAAGCCAAGGATGGTGGAGGCCTTACAGGAAAATCAACGGTAATAGTTCAGGTAGTTGATGTCAATGACAACCCACCAGAGCTGACCTTGTCGTCAATTACCAGCCCTATCCCGGAAAACTCGCCAGAGACGGTGGTGGCCGTTTTCAGTGTTTCCGATCCAGACTCTGGAGACAATGGGAGAATGACGTGTTCCATCCAGAACAATCTCCCCTTTGTCCTAAAACCATCTGTAGAAAACTTTTACACCCTAGTGTCCGAAGGAGCTCTGGACAGAGAGAGCCAGGCCGAGTACAACATCATCATCACGGTCACGGACATGGGGACACCCAGGCTGAAAACCCAGCACAACATCACCCTGCTGGTGTCTGACGTCAACGACAACGCCCCCGCCTTCACCCAAACCGCCTACACCCTGTTCCTGCGCGAGAACAACAGCCCCGCCCTGCACATCGGCAGCGTCAGCGCCACAGACAGGGACGCGGGCGCCAACGCCCAGCTCACCTACTCGCTGCTGCCGCCCCGCGACCCGCGGCTGCCCCTGGCCTCGCTCGTGTCCATCAACGCGGACAACGGCCACCTGTTCGCCCTGAGGGCGCTGGACTTCGAGGCGCTGCAGGCGTTCGAGTTCCGCGTGGGCGCCACGGACCGCGGGTCGCCCGCGCTGAGCAGCCAGGCGCTGGTGCGCGTGCAGGTGCTGGACGCCAACGACAACGCGCCCTTCGTGCTGTACCCGCTGCAGAACGGCTCTGCGCCCTGCACCGAGCTGGTGCCCAGGGCGGCCGAGCCGGGCTACCTGGTGAGCAAGGTGGTGGCGGTGGACGCAGACTCGGGCCAGAACGCCTGGCTGTCGTTCCAGCTGCTCAAGGCCACGGAGCCCGGGCTGTTCGGCGTGTGGGCGCACAATGGCGAGGTGCGCACGGCGCGGCTGCTGAGCGAGCGCGACGCGGCCAAGCACAGGCTGCTGGTGCTGGTCAAGGACAATGGCGAGCCCGCGCTGTCGGCCAGCGTCACGCTGCACGTGCTGCTGGTGGATGGCTTCTCGCAGCCCTACCTGCCGCTGCCCGAAGCGGCGGCCGACCCGGCGCAGGCCGACCCGCTGACCGTGTACCTGGTCATCGCGCTGGCGTCGGTGTCGTCGCTGTTCCTGTTCTCGGTGCTGGCGTTCATCGCGGTGCGGCTGTGCAGGCGGAGCAGGGCCGCCTGGGTGGGTGGCTGTTCGGTGCCTGAAGGCCCCTTTCCGGGCCACTTGGTGGACGTCAGCGGTACTGGGACCCTGTCCCAGAGCTACCAGTATGAGGTGTGTCTGATGGGAGGCACAGGGACCAGCGAGTTCAAGTTCCTCAAACCGATTTTCCCCAATGGTCTGGTTGAAGACATTGAGCAAGAGTAGTGCAAAACTGCAATTGCGGGAATAACTTAGGTTTCATTAATAGAAGAATAAAATATAGTTATTTGGCTATGAATACTTTCTTTTAAAATCAAGAATCTTTAGTTGATAATAATTTTGTTTATATATTGATTTTAGTTTCTATCAAGTTAGTTAATCCTTGCATATTCTCACCTGTTTTCTTTCTTACCAATGCAGTCTTAATGCCTCCTTTTCTTTTCCTAATAGGTGAGTAAAAATAAATTCATTATGTTTCAATGTTGACTTCAAATAGGTTTATTTTAAGTGACTCATTTCAAATTTTATATCCATAGCAAGTGAGATAATGTTCCTTATAATATTCCTAAAGCAGCTTTTCTATGGTTAATGAAGTTGGTGGATAGATAAGAATGTGTTTTCTTTCGGATGTTCCATCTTTAAGGCACAGCATGTTTTTTGGGGTATAGTACCTAAAAGAAAGTGATATATTTAATTCGTTTTGTTTTTACATTTGCAATTAATATTTCAATGTTGCGTATGCTTATATTGGCTCAAAGTGGACAAAATATAGGCTAACAGGGCAAATTACT